GCAGGAATATTAGGCTGCGGTCACTTTAAGAGCCACATGGATCCAATTTACTGTTACATAAGCATTCTTATTCTCAACTGTTTACATTCACTTAAGACATAACCGACAAGGGTTTATATGAATAATCACCAAGCGCCGCATTTTGACACATTTTTGCATGTATTTGACCGTTTAGGTGCACACTAAAGCTAAACATTCACTTTACTCGTCCATGTTCTGTTCCGTCTCGGAGCGCATTCACAGAAATCCTCCTGAGGTACAGCGCAAGTTCTCTTTCACGCTTTTAGAAACATGAATAAATATAATCAACTTTAATAAGTCAAGCACATCCCATTTTGCAAAAGTCACGATACATGATTTTACTGATTTGCACGTGAAATTGGGCTTTTATGGAGGAATGAAGGCGCACCGCTGGAAAGGGGGCGGAATAGGGCACATTAATAATTGTATTTTCTTGATTATTGTGTTTTCATAATCATTGGAGGCCGAAATCAAAATTGAAACTGCATTTCAATTAATTGCACAGCTCTATATCCTATTAAAAAATTATGGGACCTTATTGTAAAGAGTTACCAAAACATTATCATAAATGACGAGTCCTTAAGGCTAAAGGGAGCCTGCTTTTGATCGTGACAGGATGCATGAAATGCATGTGTGCATGCATGTTGTCTTCTCACCGGTGTGCCGGCGGCTCCTCTCTCTGACGGTGGTATCATGTCAGGGGTCAGACTCTGAGGAAGATCCACTCCTTTCGCTTTCTCCTGAATCAGGTGCATTGCCAGACAGAACTGCTCCTTGGTGAGTTTGCCGGTATGCTGAGTGTCTGCCAGCGACCTGCAGACCAAAACAACAGAAAACAATGCTTCTATGAGCACGAGTGTGAAAGAAAAATTATGTGTAACATAATCATAAATCCTACTGTCTTGCAAATTCAAGGATAGTTTTAAAAAGGCTGTGGGTGACTTTAGGAATAAGATTGCATTTTACTCTTTAATCCAAACTTGACTGCCTCACCATATGTGTGCCAGGACGCTCTGAGGCAGCCGAGAGTTCATGAAGATATCCTTCACTTCACCTCCTCCAACCATCCCATCAAAATCAGAGTCTGCCAGATCAAAGATCTCCTCGTACTGCTCTCGGTCTTCCGCTGGCACCACCCAGAGATCAGAGGATGGCTGCTAAGACAAATATTGGGAATGTCTGGAATAGCATACAACTCATATGTGCATACTATGTGAATTTTCTATATGCATCAGCCAAAATTTGCAGAGCACACGGAGATACTTTTTCCCACAATGTCAGAAAGATCGCATTTATGCACATAACCGCATGTAAGCCATGAGTTGGGGGCGTGTCAGTGAAAAAACATGTCGGATGCAATGGATGCAGCATCTGTATTGAGGGTAAATTTGCTATAATTAATAAAATTGTTTGTTTTTTATTTACAATAAAACTAAATCTACGTTGCATGTACAAAATAGTGTAGTATTGTACAATAGCAATAGAATATATAACAATTTAATTTACAGCACCGTCATAAATGGAATAAAAACAAAAAAACAGATGCACATTCTTTATTCATTAATTTGTTGATGTAGTTTAAAAATCTTGTTGAATTTTATGCAAAAATGGCACATGCAGAAATCATTCTGAGCAGTGTAATTTTAGTATTATTTATATATTACTATATATTTTTATGAATATTTTGAATTAGATTGTTTTTATACTTTCAGTTTTCATTTTTATTTTACTTAAATTTTTAGTAATTAGTGCTTTCATTATTATTTTTTATTAATTAATATATAGGTTTAATTCATTTTTATTTTAAATTTAAGCTTCAGTTCATTTCCAGTTAGTAATTTTGGTGCTTGAAGTTAAACTAAACTAAAACTAGAAAAGTTTTTCATCTAATATTTATATTTGATTTTAGCTTTATTTTTATTTTTTTGATAATTACTCTGATATTTAGTATTATAATTCCTCTGATTGCTTTTTATACGTGTAGACCGTCTCTTATAATACACAACATCACTCATTACAATAAATATGCAAAATAGCTACACCATGTGACATCAATGAAGTTTGCATGCTACTTCACATACTATTAATTTAATAGTAAATAAAGTACACTGATATTCCTTTCAGAATGCATGCATACTTTTCCACAAATGGCAAAAACTTCACAGTCCATGAACCTCAAATTGTTCAATCTCTTTTGCTATCTGGCTGCTCATGAAGTTTACAATGAAAGGCATTTGAATGAGAATATATGAGAGAATATCATGGGTTCCGTATATGTTAGGCATTGAGTAACTAATAATGAACTGCATTACTTGGACAAAGAACTGTAGGTTGTTTATGGCTTCCAATCAACGTAGAAAATCAAGCAGAAACACAGAAAAAATCTGTGCATTATTTTGCAATAAACTCTGTAAACATGAAGACTAGAGCTCCAGGAGCTGATAAGAATGTGGCTGGACTGGTATTATGAGTGTTAGATCAAGACTGACAGGTTTACATGCAGCACGACTGCTGTGGTGTTCACCTGTGTGTGTGTTTGAGGCTGCGGTGGTGTCGGGGTGGAGCGCTTGAACGAGCTCGATGGAGACAGATTTGTGCTGCTACCCAAAGAACTCTTGGAAGGCGCTGGCGTCGGCCTCAGGTTCTCCTTCAGGAAGAACGGACTAGAGGGAAGAACAGGAACTGATCCCGGAAGAGCGCCTGCGATCTTCTTCCGCTTGGATGGAGGGATGAGAGCGGTGGGGAGGGTGGATGGCACAGGCTCCTTCTCTCGGGCTGCATAAACCAGGTGCATCACCTGCAAAAAGATGTGACAGTTGACAAAATGAGTGTTGGGATTTCTCTTCCTGATTTTTCTTGTTTCCTCCTGTCACTGATGATAACATCCACAAATACTTAAGACTTGAATCTATTTTGACATATATGTGACCCTGGACCACAAAACCAGACTTAAGTGTCCATTTTTCAAAATTGAGATTTATGCATCATCCGAACGCTCAATAAATAAGCTTTCTATTGATGTATGGTTTGTTATGGAATCTGAGGGTGCAAAAAATCTAAATACTGAGAAAATCGCCTTTAAATTTGTCCAAATAAAGTCCTTAGCAATGCATATTACTAATCAAAACTGAAGTTTTGCTATATTTACGGTAGGAAATTTACAAAATATCTTCATGGAACATGATTTTTACTTAATATCCTAATGATTTTTGGCATAAAAGAAAAATCGATAATTTTGACCCATACAATGTATTTTTGGCTATTGCTACAAATATACCCCAGCGACTTAAGACTGCTTTTGTGCTGCAGGGTCACATATATTACACATTGAACAGTGTCAATAACATTAAACATTAAAAGTAACAAGACCCATGATTTGAGGAATCATTCGTGGAGCACAAACGCTGCAGGACGACACACTCTGAACTTTAATACTTAGTGTTAGAGGTTTGATCACATCAACCATAAACTACTAATAATCTACTAATAAAAGCACATGCTATTTTGTTTGACTCACCACTGAAAACTCATCTTTATCCAAGTGTCCATCTTTGTCAATGTCACTGAGATCCCAAATCTACAAAACACAGAAAGAGTAAAAAAAAAAACATTTATGTAATCATGAAGTTCATTTATGAATATACTAAAAGTCTAAACTATACTAGTATAAAGTAAGTCAAATATTAGCAACATTTTACATATACTGTATACACTAGCATTCAAAAATGTGTGGTCAGCAAGTTTTAAGTTTTAAAAAAAAAAAGTATCTTCCTCTCATCAAGGCTGCATTTATTTGACCAAAAATACAGTAAAAACAGTAATACAGTGAAATATTATTACAATTTAAAATAACTCTTTTCTATGTGAATATCTGTCAAAATGTAATTTATTTCTGTGATCAAAGCTGAATTTTCAGCATCATTACTCCAGTCTTCAGTGTCACATGATCTTCAGAAATCATTCTAATATGCTGATTTGCTGCTCAAGAAACAATTTTCATTATTATTAATGCTGAAAACAGTTGTGCTGCTTCATATTTTTGTTAAAACTGTCATGCATTTTATTTTTCAGGATTTTTTAATATAATGCTTAATAAAATAACAATTTCTTCGAATATCAGGAAAATATCAGTAAAATCTAAGTGGCTATTGGTCTAAAGTGTCTATATCAGTGTGAGCCTCCTATATAGTAAAGCAGACATTCACCTTTCCAAGCACATCAAGAGGCAGGTTTGAGTTCATTAGGACTGGTTTCACTTTATCACCTGACAGCAGCCCACCAATCGGAGACAGACTCTCAAATATCCCATCATACTTTGCTTTATCCTCCGGCTGGTGAAACCAAGCACAATGGAAAAGAGACAACGTGTGGTGAGAAAATAAGTTTTTCATTACAAATCTGATTTTACTCCAGTAATTCTGTACCTTTATTGTCCAGCTGGAATCAGCAACAAAGGTTGTGATGTTCAGGGACGGGCTGCCGGCGTCTCTCTGGAAAACACACACGGCATCATGGACATTTACATGTATTTGCTTTAACAGATGCTTTTAACCCAAACAACTTACAAATCAGCATGCAAACACAAGCGATTAACTGTCAACATCAGCTATCGTGTTCAACAGGTTGACAGTGATTTGAGATATTTTAAGCATGTGACACACAAGTGTTATTTACAAAGCACCATTTCACCACATCTTTATTTATACTAGGGATGTCAACGATTAATTGACGATCGATTAATTGTCGATAAGAGATGCAATCGATTAAAGCTATCGATGGTCGATTAAGTCGTTTAATTTTGGTCTGCGTGCGGCTCATGCGCAAAACACGTGCGAGCCGCTGTGAGTGACGGTGACGGTATATAAATGCGTCATCATTCATTCATAATGTACAAATTAAGCTTTTAATGTGATTTAAACTTTAAAAGTACATTAAAATAGAAATTAAGGTTAACGATTAATCGATTAATTGATCGTTAATTTAAACTTTGAATTTAAAAAAATTGACATCCCTAATTTATACACATGTTATTCGGATAAAACCTACAGATAAACATATGTGGATCGTTGAATTTTCAGCTCAGGTATCTAAAGTGGCAATACTCACAAATTTAGGGATGGGTGCAGAGATGTTCTGGCTTAGACTGTTTAGACTGACATCACTTCCTCCTTGAGCAGAAGCCACCAGCCTCAGAGCAGAGAAGAAACCCTTAATAGAGATGGCAGTTAAACCAAGGTTATTACAGTTCATTAAAGCTAAAAGAAAAAAAGAAAAACATTTTTAAATAATTAAAATTAGAAAATTAAAATAAACTTTCGTAACTTGAAATAAATTACATTTTAACAACATTTTTAATTAAAAAAAAAACATTAAACTTATTTTATTTCAGCTAGCTGCCAAAGCAACATTTTCATTTAGTTTAACTTGATGTACTAAAATAACTAAAAAGAAATAATAAATGAAATAAAAAAAAAATTTTTTAAATGCACAACAAAATTACTAAAACTTTAAAATTAATTCAAATAAAATCAGAAAATATAAAAACTAATTCAAAATATTAATAAAAATATAATAGTATCTCAATTACAATAAACTAACACTGAACTCAGAATGCATCTGAGAACTGAATTTATGAACTGAATGAAACTAATAAGACAAATTTGGCTATAAAATATTGTTTATTTCTTACAAATTTAAATAATTTATGTTTTAAGGGGCTTTTTAATTTAGCTAATGCTTCCATTTCTATAGTGATATATTGAACATTACAATTTTCCCATATATGTACGAGTGGACTGATTATTTTTCCCCACATTCTGTGTACCAGTGTTCAATTTTTACATTTATTAAAATTTTAACAATAATAGGGCTCTATGAAATGTTTATTTTTTCTGAAACTCTGTGTCTGTTTTAATTTGATTCTGTGATTTATGATTGAATACAAATTTATGAAAAAAAGATGGTAATCAAATGATCGCAGAACACTTTAACAAATTAATTAATCTTTAAAATGTAATCAGATTAAAATGTAACAATTCCTTTTATTTTTTGGCAGACAAAGCGCTGCACAATCAAGGTTTACGGTTTAAATTAAAACATTGATAAAAAATGTGTGATATTCCTTAAAATTATATTTCAATAAATTGTATTATTATTACTTTGAGAAGTACATTCTATTTTACAAAGTAAAACCGAACTGTTATTTTGACGCGCTGTAGCTTTTTAGACCAAAATCTGGCTCAGTCAGACTAATAAATGTGGTACTTTTAACTTTCCATCAAACACAATGGTGAAACTGTACAAACAAGATTTAATAATTAAATGAAGAGATGATATAAATGATATCAAGATGTCAAAGATCATAATGGAAAGTTATCTAATTGTGTAAAGGCCTATTCTGACCTTTTTATCCAAGTAACCTTTTCTCTCAGGGTCTGACAGATCCCAGATCTGTAAAGAGAGGCAAAACACAGTCATTTTCTGCCAACAGCTCCAGCGCTGCATCTCAAGGCTTTCAGATGTTCAGTGATGGGATTATTCACTCTCACCTGACCCAATGTGCTGTCCGAAAGCCCTGATTTCTTCAAGAACTGAGCAGCTTCTGCGGCGCCCACTTTCCCAGTGTTTCCCGGATCCACCTGCAACAAAGACGACAGGCCATCAGCGTCACTTATAATGGCAGAACTAAAGATCAGTATCAGCCAATATATTGATATTATACTAGCTTATAATATCAGGGTTTATTCCATTTTAAACAGCACTGGTAATTTACCTGTCTGTAGAAGCTCTCATATGCAGGGTTTCCACTTGATAACTGCATACATAGGAAAGAAAATGTATAAAAAAAAAGAACAGTAAAATTCTAAATATAATGGTAACACTTTACAGTAAGGTTCCAACATGATTAATCAACAAAGAAAAAGACTTCTAAAGCATATATTAATCTGCGATAATTTCAAACACTATTAAAATCAAAAGTTGTATCTGTTAACATTATTTATTGGCTTTTAGCTAACATGAACTAATAATTAACAGCTGTATCTTAATAACTAACATTAAGAAAGACTGAGAAATACTGTACTGCTGATTGTTGGTTAATGCATTAACTTACATTAAACTAATAGGACTTTACTGTAAAGTGTTACCAGTATAATAAAAAACAAGTATCAGTTAAATATCAAAAATATGTCTGGGCCATAGGGGGAAAAAAATACTTTTTTTTTTTTGTAGTATCATAAATATTTTTTTCATTATTTTCACAAAAGTTAAGTACATTTCCTTCCTAATGTTTTCATATAGATTTTGTTTGCAATTTTTATTATTCACACTGACGATTCAGTCATATGATTTCACAATAAATCCCACCATCATGTAAACTATGAATGATTATTGTTTGATATTACAGTAATGCAGTGGGCATCGATGACGTCACAGGATGAAAACGTTGGTTTCTCTCGTTAAAGACAATGCAGACAAACGGTGTGCTGACATAATACATCGGACAAAATCAGAATAATGTTTCTGAACAATATTCTGAACAATTCGGTGACAGGAATCACATAAATAACTCTGATCAGTTTCGCCATGGTGCTACACAAACAGCTGTCACGACATAAAGAGAGTCAAAAAGTTGCAAAACAGCGACCTTGAAATCGCAAATCAGTCAGAAATCAATTATTAGCCGTCATTACAATACATAACGAGGCAAAACTGAAAAAATACCTAACACATAATCGCTAACAACAACAGAGAACTGCGCCCGCTTCACCGGAGAGCCCAATCTCCGCGCGTTTGCACTTTTAAACAAGACATAACAGCATTTTCTACAACCAGAGAACACGAGTTAGATAAATCCTTCCAAAATGTACATTACAGTTTAGTTTTAATCAAACTTTTAAAGTCATTACCTGACCGAGTGACGTGAGCGCCGCCATGTTTCCTGATTCACGAGCACGCGCACGCACAGGGGTCTGTCTCGTGGACGCGCAATGTCAAATATGAACGAGCGAGTTACTATTTCATTAAAGGGGTCATATGATGCGATTTCAATTTTTCCTTTCCGTATTCTTAAGTCTTGGCCCTACTAAGTTATTCTGAAACAAACGTACGGATGTGGGCAAATATTTAAACACAGTTCATAATTATTTATATTATTAATCTAAAATGCAAAATCAGGTAAAACGCATGTAAAACATAATGCAGAACAGAAAATATCTAGAAAATTATTCGTTTTAAATTCTATATTATATATGTAATAATTTATAATTATTATAAATGATATAGCCTATGTAAAACTGTTATGGGAGAATGTGTGATAAATTTACTGTAGTAAAGTAAAGAAAAGGAAAACAGAAAAGAAAAATATCATGTATCTACAGTTCCTCTGAGTCCATAGTCTAAAGAAATACAGCTTCAACATTGCACACATTATCACAGTTTATTAAATGTAATTTAATTTATGCATTTAGCAGACGCGACTTACAGTGCATTCAGGCTATACATTTTTTATCAGTATGTGTGTTCCCCGGGAATTGAACCCAAGACCTTTGTGCTGCTAACACAATGCTCTACCTCTGAGCCACAGGAACAAATTATATAGTTTATTAGTATATAGTATATAGTTATATAGTATATATTTATAGTATATAGTTTATTCTCTACAGTTTAGAAAATGGTAATAAAATATGACAAGAACTAAGAGTTAAACTGTGTCAGAACAAATTGATCTTGATAGTGTCAGATAACACTTAAGCAAAACATGGTCATGTCAAAGTGTCTGAATAATTTTTGGTTTTACGGTACATAGTCGGTATTCTACTGTAAAATGTCTCCACCTTGTGTACCAGATTTGTAAATGTCATGACATCTAGAAAAAAATGATGTAATATAAATCAGCTTTTCCATTATAGAAAACATATGTGGTGAAAATAATGCAAGCAACTCCCAGAAACAACCGAAACATGCATTCGTCTCTAACTGCTTGTTTACAAGCTTTTGAGCGGTTAAAATTATGAAAATAATTATTGAATAATGTCGGTGCAATATCTTCAGTGAGATTTACACAAATCATGCAGTCTATATACAGATATCAACCACCTGCACTACTTTAAAGCTTCTTACAGGAGTTTGAGACTGGAAAACTTTCTTATCAGGGATCTAGTTTTTTTTTTGTGCAATTAATTTTTGTGGACCAGCTTTCATGTTGCAAATACAAACTTATCGACCAAACCACACAAAAGTGAGTATTACTCCAAATATGTATTCAGATGCATGTGACTAAAGCTGCAGATGATGATTAACATTCTAGAGAAATGATTAATTAATGAAAACGAATGGGAAATGTGTAATGTGTAAACATGGACAAATGTTCAGATATCTTCATCTGTTCTTTTGGTGTAATAACCAACCTGAATTGAATTAGTATAAATAAACAGTATAAAGCTCTGATCATGAAACCGTGATGTGCTCAAACTCACAAAATATTACAACTGCATGTACAATAAAGTTATTTATTAAAACTTTGGCATTACTTACAACTCTCAACATGTAAAAAGGTGGTTTAATGTCACTAAACAGGATTTTCAGTACTAATCCAATTTGAACATTTGGGATTTAGTTCACAGTGTGTATTTTAATGCAGCCTTGACATCTCTGCAAATATTACCACATCCCTTATCGTAGCTCATTTATTTTCAAGTAACAAAAGATTATTTAAAAAAAGAATTACATCAGCTACAAACTGAACATCACAAATGCTACCGCCACTGATCATCTGAAAGCTAAAACAAACTCAAACTGCAAGACATTTGTAATAAATAGAGCTGGAAAATAAAAGGAGTTTTACTGAATATCTTGTTTAGGAGATTAATATAATAACCACCACAGCATATATACTGCGGTAACAGAACAAAACTAAATCATCAGTGCCAAAGGAACATTATGTCATTGTAATTTTCTTTTGCACTACAGTACAAACATTCATCAGCCCTCATTGATGAAACACAAGCAGAATGAATTTGCGTAAATCATTATACGTTTTCCTGCAACAATTTACGCAAAAATGATTTTGTTCTGCTCATGTTTCAGAAATGAGGACTATAGTTTGAAACCCAGCCTGTGATCTGATTAATCTCTTATTAATAACAATAGGGCGAAAATCACCATCCTCCACTATTCAGTTTCGTTGCTCATCACATTTCTGCAATGCGGAGAAACAACCGTGTAACCTCCCAGTAACATTCTTTACTGTATATGGAAGTCCGTTTCCACTACGGGAAAAAACCCAAATAAAAATGTAATTGTGACTTTTTATGTCACAGTTCAGACTTCTTTCTCACAAAAAAAAAATCAGAATTGTGAGATATAAACCCAGTTTTCTGACTTTTTGCTTGCAATTCTGAGTTGTTTTTTTTCCACCACAGAATAAATAAATAAATTAAGATAAATATGACTTCTCACAATTCATACTTTTATCTCAGAGCTATGAGTTCATATCTCAATTTTTACTTTATATCTCACAATTTTGAGTTTAAATCTTACAATTCACACTTTTTCCTCAGTATTATGAGTTTATATCTCACAATTCTAATTGTTTTCCTCGGAACTCCGAGACAAAAGTCCCAATTGTGAGACATAAACTGAGAATTACATGAAGTCGTCTGAATTGTGAGCTACAAAGTCGCGATTATCTTTTTTCTTTTTGTATTCCGTGGTGAAAACGGCCTTCCATAATCATAACTGTAATTCAAGTAAACTTTATTAATTTAGTCTAGTTCCTTCAAACTAACACCAACGTCATGAACTAATATGGGCATTGATTTTACAAACATGAAATGCACAATAAACTGATCATAGATCAGCATTAAAGATGTCAAATATATCAGACTCCTGGTACTGTACAGAAAACTCTTCAATAACAAAAAACTGGCTCGTTCAAGCTCAATGGTCACAAATTAAACGTATAGGTTGAGAACTTCCGGTCGCCCTGTTGCCCTGTATGACATCATCACGACATCATCGCCGTCTCAAATTAGAATGAATGCACTGCAGTCGTTTCCCTGGAAACCACGGAATGTGAACGGTAATCTACTTCCTGCGTTACAGTTCGTCTTTGGGAAGCGCATCGTCTTCTTCCTCCTCTGGAGGCTCGTCTGTCTCGTCCTCTTCCTCCTCGCCTTCATCCTCCTCCTCTTCCTCCCCCTCATCTGCTTCTGTGCTCTGCTCCTTGTTCTTCTCCTCCTCCTCTTTGCGTTTCTTCTCATCCTGTTCCTCCTTCATTTTCTTCTCGGGACCCTGCGGCAAGACAGACCATTAAAAAAGCATTTTTATTGCATATCCACTAGTTCAGCAAGATGCTCAAATCAAACTCTTACCTTTGTAGCACCCCACGTTTCATTTCCGAAATCCTCAGCTTCCTTCACGTCGTCTGTGATGAGGAAGTTGTCAAATATAGTGCCGGATTTCACCTGGAGTGATGAAACAGAAACAGAAACATGGTGGTGTTTCTCACAATGAGCTGAATTTGATAGAGGGGGAAAAGCACCTCTTAGTGGTTTAAAGTGCAAACACTGCATTAAGTGTGAGGAGAAACGTCACAAACTTTGACATATACTGACAAACAGTCATGTTTCCAGTTCTAAAATAGATTTCCTCTTTCCAAACTTGCTATTGAGTTTACAAGCACACACCAGGGTTATTATAGCTCAAACTAAATTATTATTAACTCAAACTAAACTAAACTAAAACCATAAAAAAAATTGCTACTTGAAATAAAATAAAATATTAAAAATATTTCTCATTTTCATGTAGTTTAACTTGATGTACTAAAATAGCAAACTAAAATGAATTAAAATTAATAAAAACTACATAGACATATAAACAAAAACGAATTCAAATACTACAAAACACACAACAAAATTATTATAACTAAAATTAAAATGAAAAACATGAAAATAAAAAGTCATTAAATATACGAATAAAAACTGCTTGCTTAAAAATACTAAAATAACACTGCTACGTACAGATATAATTAGGGCTGGATCATATAGATTAATAATAATAATAATACAAATTATAAAATTAATGAATGTCTAAATCAAATAAATAAATCAATATTTTTTTAATATTTAAATAATTTTAAGTCTCAGTAATTTTTTGTGTTTTTATTATTTTTTATATAGCTTATAATTACATTTATTTCATTTCAGTTAACATTTCTTTTATTTCAAGTAACAAATTTGAATGGTTTCAGTTAACTTTAATAACCCTGATATTTAGTAATTCCTCTGAAATGGCTTAAAGGTGTGAGAGGAACCATCATTTCAATCAAATAGTCATCGCTGCAAAATAGACTGAAAATGTTCAACCAAGAACTAAAATTCAATAAAAATCTAGTTAACATCAACTGCTGCCAGTTTTCAGAAAACTGAACTGGCCTAATAAAAAGCACATTACAATCAACACAATATTCACAATGCTTGTCAAAATCTCTGTGAATATATTGTTAATATTCAGTAAATCATAGACATGTATTCCTGAATTGCATTATTTTTTCAAGTTTTATAATGCTTCCTGAGGTGTACTTATATAGTTAGTAGGGTTTTCATAATTATGAAATATAAGGCAATTTTATGTTAATATTGATAATAAAAATAAAATAAAAATTTTGAAAATATTTCCTATATGCTAATACTTCCCGAGGTGCACTTATATCGTTAGTAGGATTTTCATAATTAAAAAATAGAAGGCTATTTTATGTTAAATAATAAATAATTAATTAAATAAATAAATATTTTGAAAATATTTGCTATATGCTAATACTTCCTGAAGTCCACTAATATATTTAGTAGGCTTTTCATAATTAAGAAATGAAAGGCTATTTTATGGCAACACTAAGGCGTCTTACCTGCCAGAGATCCAGCCCAATGACTCCAATGTTGTCGAATTTGTAGATCTCGGCATCAGGAGTGTATTCAGGGTTGTCGATTTCAGGATGCACCCAGACGCCCTTGTAGTTGGGGTTATCAATCTGTTTGGGTTTCCACTCACCCTGCACCAAAACGCAACAACAAATGAATATCACAGGCCTGAAACGCGTCTTGTTGAGGCATCTTCAAGCATGTAAATCTGTACCTTGTACTCCGGGTTTGGGATCATGGCAGGTTCCCACTCTCCGTCCATATCCTCATCCCAGTCGTCTGGCTTCTTGGCATCAGGATCGGGAATATTCTCAGGCTTATCCCAGTCCTGACAACATCAAACAGTCAGTGTTAAAAGATGAAACCGAGCCAGCTATGCCTCACAGGTGATAGGAAACAGAATCGAACCTCAGGTTTGGTGTCCGTCTCGTCGTCGATCATGGCGTGGTCGTCCCAGTCCTCAGGTTTCTTGGCTTCGGGGTCCTTGATCTTCTTTGGGGGCAGGAAGTCCCAGTCCTCCTCCAGAGAGCCGGACTCCACCATCTCATTGTCGATCTTCACCTCATACGTCTGATCCGGATTCAGGATCAATGTGTACAAGTGAGTCAATTCATCATCCTGAGGAGAAAGAGAGAGTTCATTTAGAGAGCTTGTTTTAAAATGTACATTTCATTCTATCACATTTGCATTACAGATGCTCTCAACTCATATGGCTAAAATATTTTTATTTTTTTATGGCTAAAATATATTTTAAATACATGCTGAATATATGTGGTAAACAATGTAATATATTTTTGAAATTTCAAATATATTTACTTTCAAACTTCACATATCAAAATACATTTTAAAATATATTTCAGGCGCAAGAAAATACATTTCCAATCTTACAATATTAATTACTTAATTTATTTTATTTATGTTATATGTTCACATATAAAACAACAAAATATTTTTCTTTAAATGTGACATATGTGAACGGATTTTCTTGGACTGAAATATATGCAGGGTACAGAGTGACAGGTATGGCTGAGGAATGGGGTTCAGTCGAAGAAAAATTCAGTCAAATGATTTTTTTTTGCTTTAACCCCTGAAATATAGTAAGTAGAATAAGACAAATAAGTTACCAATCATATGAAATTCGTATTAATAAGTTAATTTGTACTACAGAGGTGGCACAGAAGAACACAAAAGTGGCT